TGTAAGCAGAAGGATTTTTGCATGTCTGCAGGACATTTTTTTTCAGCATAATGAATTCATCCAAAGTGGCAATGAAGTCTGTTGTCTTCAACAAACATTTTGGAAAGACAATGGCTGTTGAAATTATCTGATGAAACATAAAAATTGGATTTTCTCCTAATACCGCTTCCAACAAATTTTCACTTGCTGAAATAAATGATTTCAATTTTTAATTCCAAGAAACCTTTTTTCAAGGCCAGCTTGTTTAATTATTGAAGACATTCTACTACAGCTGCTTCACTATTTCTTAACTTAATGTTTGCAAAAAAATCAGAAAAATTTTAAATACAGTACCTATCATAAAGTTTTTCAAAATTTTATTTGGATCTGCAACAATTTTATGGAAACTTTGGTGGTCTGCGTAATATATTTTAGAACTTATACAGCCTGCAGAAAATTTTATGTAAGTTTGCTTGTCCTTGGACCCAAAAAGGTTGAGGAACAATGGTATATGTACAACAATTATACTCTCTTAGCTTATATTCCTCTTCACTATTATGGATATATTGAATATTCCTGGTATATAATTGAGGCTGGTCTTATAACAAGGAACTTGGAGCAGATTCTTTCAAAAATCATCTGGTCTTTAAACTACTAATACCTGGGTCCAGAAAATGTTTTTCTACAGGGTGGCACTGCAAACCACTCCTCAAGCCAAATACAAGAATACAAAAGCAAAGAATATGAATTTGGACTCAAATGAAAGTGAAATTTGATTATGTTCTTGTATTATCTATGAAGGAATCAAACACATGGCATTGGATAGTCAGAAGGCTGTGGGCAAGGTTCTCAAGGCAACAAAACTTGCGGACAAACTGGAACTCAGGCAAATTACTGTTCCAATTGGGGTGCTGATGGTGATTTTTNAGAGAAGATGTGTCTGACTTGTGCCAATTGGACGGATTGATAGACTTGATCATTCCTCGGGGATCTTCTTCACTTGTGAAATCTATCCAGACGCAGTCCAAACACATTCCGGTTCTTGGACATGCTGAAGGAATTTGTCATGTGTTTGTTGACAAGGATGCTGATTTACAGATGGCTTTAAAAATAGGTACTGTTTTGTTCAAAGAGTCTTGCATTTGAATTGCATTTTTTTTTACTTTAGGAGCCTTTCAAAGGGTTTGAAATTTACTTGCCTCAATTTTAATCTTGGAAAATGTAACCCTTGGTAATTTGAAACCCACATCAATTTTAAATATTGTGGCAGGACAATTTTTTTTCCGATTTTCCCCACATATTTTCAGCAGCAACAACTGGTTACAAACAAGCAAAGTTGGACCAGGAGAAATGCTTTCAGATGATTCAATTTCCAGAGGTTATATTCGAAAACTTGTTGCATTTGACACAGGTTCATCAGAAATCAGACTAAATTGTGACTAAAACTCGGATTATTTTTGAATGAATGAATGAACAGAACACTTTATTTGCCGCTTTTCAGCGTTAACAAGGTTCAATCAAGATTTCCGCAACCAAATCCCCTTCCCACCCAACCCAAATCCACTCAATGACATTTTAATCACTTCAGAGCAGGATTATTTTTTATATGGTTTTTCTGCGAGGGGGATTCAAAACTTTTTAAAGTAATGTGCAAATTTTTTCAATTTCAGTGCGAGACTCCAAGCTGGATTATCCTGCAGCTTGCAATGCCATGGAAACACTTCTGATACACGAGGAGTTGATGGAAGAAAGTTCTTTCTTTGATGACGTCTGCAGGATGCTGAAGAAGCACAATGTTTGTGACAGAAGAAATTCCTTTTTTTCCAGAAAAAAAACCTGTCGTCCTCCGACTGACAAACCCTTTTTTTGTTTGTCTCAAATACAGGTGAAAATACATTCGGGTCCAAGATTGAGCCGCCGAATGACCTTTAGTCCACCGCTAGTGAAGAAGATGAAAACGGAATACGGAGGCTTGGAATGTGCAATTGAGTTAGTGACATCTGTGGAACAGGCGATTGAGCATGTCGTGAATTTCGGTAGCGGACACACAGATGTCGTTGTTACGAGAAACGGTGAGTGCGCGCAAGGAACTACACGATTCGGGTGTTTATTACCTAGATGTCGCCTGAAAAGTTTAGGGTGAATGGGTCTTCAGAATTGACAAGCGAAGGTGGGATGAAAAATGACAAAAATACTTGATTTTTTAAAATTTTTACCTTACAGCTTAATTAATCCGTAATTAAAAAATAAATCTTAATTTGTCTGAAGAAAAAAAAAAACTATGTCATCTGGAAAATCGGGTATGTGCTTTATCTTATTTAAGTGGCTTTTCGATGCATATTTTTAGCCATAAAATTGCGATTTTCCTAGTTTATTAATTTCATTTCATAACTGGGCGTTATATCTTCTGTGTGTTTTTTTTTGCTTGTGGTGTACATGAAAATATGTACTTGCACAAAGTTTGTTTCGGTAGTTGTTTGTTATGCAATAATCCAGTCAATTGTAGGGAAAAGTCCGTGTGTGAGATTTTCAAGCGGATATTTTTTTCTGTGTCCTTGATATTATTCTAATCATTGCAAAATTTTTATTGATTTATTTTTTAGAGGACACAGCGCAGAGATTCATTAATGGCATTGACAGTGCCTGTGCTTTCCACAATGCCAGTTCCAGGTTTGCAGACGGCTATCGATTTGGACTTGGTGATTATTTCTTTATTTATTTGATTTTGTTCGAATGCTGGTACAGTATAATAATAATAATAGTCAGGGAATTTTCGCACTTGTAAGACGCTGTACTTGGTAATATATTTTTAGAAAGACAGTACAATATTTTAGCATATGAATAACCAATTAGAAGGTGCAGATGATGTACAGTAGGTTGGTAATTGTTTACTGTACAGCAGTAAATCGATGGGACCTCTAATCAATATTTTTGAACCTACATATTTTGAAAATGTAAACGACACTCCACTTGATATTAAAAATTGAGTCCCTACAAAATGAAAATACAGTAATACATTCAAGGCTGAATTTTTCTTTAAAATTTTTATGCGGATAAAAATGTCTTTGTGATGCATTTGGATTTTAAAAATGGTGTTCCATAGATCAAATAGACTAAGAAACATATAATTGGCACACAAAATAATCATTTTAATCTATAGCAAGTTCTAAACATGAATTGACTTCTTTAAAAAAAATAAGGTGCAGAAGTAGGAAAAATTAAATCAATTCCTTGCATCCTCCAATTATTAAAAAAAAACCTGGTTCTCAAAAATATTATGATCAGAAATCATTATGGGGAAAATATATGCTCAAACCAAGTATATATATATTTTATGTGTTTATAATCTTTTTCCACTGTATATAACTGAAAAAATTCAAGCATTTCTTTTCCAGAACTTGCTTAATCATACACATTTCTCAAAGTTATATACAGGTATGTACTACGATTTTCTCTGCATGACTAATTTTGTGTTGGCCCCATGACAGGGTTCTCTTTATTCCCATGTTAAATAGGTGTGCTCTACAACGAAATTTCCTCTACTGCGATTTTTCTTCTGTGGTCCCCCGAATGTCATTGTAGAGAGAGAGTCCACCTGCATTGAAATGTTTTGTGTCTCAAACAATTTTAGCACAACATTTCCATTTAAACGTATGTAAATATTTTTTTACATACTGTAATTCGTTTTAAAGGCATTTTGTGGTACTGTACTTGTATGATATAGTTGCTGTAAATAATGTTCTTATTATCTTTTTCCGTTGTTTTTTTTTCAATAACGAAGGTGCTGAAGTGGGCATTAGCACTGGCAAAATCCATGCCCGAGGCCCAGTTGGCATGGAAGGTCTTCTCACGACCAAATGGATTTTGCACGGAAACGGACACGGAGCATTTGATTTCACCGAGTCTGGAGGCATGAAATTCCTGCACGAACCAATCCCAATCGTTTCCGAGGAATAAGGTGTCTAAAATTGGTTTCCTTTGTCATGCTTTTATCGAAAGCGAAAATTGTGAACCTCTGATGAAAATAAGAAAGTTAGAAAATTTTTCGATAAAATGCTTCTTTCTGCGGATTTTCCCATTTTAGTTCTATTATGGCAAGATTTGTCCCGGAAATGAGTGATTTTATTATGCATACCCGCTTGTTTGATGCAGGTCATTATATTTGAAGCTTTCTGGATCAGATATCATTGATAATCAAAATTTACTGTTTTTGCAGCATAGAATACAGTGCCTTCCCCCCATAACAGAACAATCGAGGAACTAAAATTGTCTTCAGAAAGATTTTTGTACAAAGGGTGAATAAAATAATAATTCATTCCCACAGAAAAAAATGCACCAGACAAATGATGCATGTATTCCAGAAATTTATGAGTTTGAACTTTTGAAACTCTTCTCCAAAGCACAAAAAATATTGAGAAATAAAGCCCAATATGATAAATGCTGACATTATACAAGTACTGAAGACCTGATTTTTAAGATATCAATTTTTAGGAAATTGGGTGATTTAAGGAATGGTAATCCATTCCATCTTTACCACTTGCGCACCTTTTCTTGACAAGTATTCACATGTTGGGACTTACTGAACTACTCACATTCTTCCAGGTCACGTGCAATTTTTTTGTATCTTGAACATATTTCCCTCAAGAAAGTCTTATGATAATTATTTTTACATAAGAAATGTTTTCATAACAAAATCCACCCCAGAATGTATAATTTTCATTATACAGTGAGCCATTGTAAATGATATAAATTGTGTATGTGGTCAAACTATGTTTGTTTGATTCAAGAAAATTGTAGTCAAAATCTTTTCAACTTTAATGTCCTGTGTCCCACTTTTGCCCAATTGAGGATGAAATCATTTCAAGTGTATTGTATACAAATATGGCTTGATATGTGGAAGAAAATATATTTGATTGTGAATTTCACTGCTTTTGATATGGCAAATTTTTTTATTTTGAGATACCAGAACTATTTATACTGACCATCTCAATTTTTTTTTAGCATAAACTCACATTACTGCCACTTTTTTGAATGTTTGTACAAAACAAATATTTTTCTCTGAACTTTGCTGATGAGCTTGCAAATAGTATTTTTACAAAGCTTTCTGTGTCTGTTACATATGGTTTGGGATTAAAGTTGTCAAAAAAGAAAGAATATATGCTTATCTGATGGTGAGAATGCATTGATTCTTTTTCTTGGATGGCTCAGATATTCCTTGAAATGCAAATTTAACCTAACATGAGATAGTATGCATGAGAAGCCTCATGAAGAGTAAGTTTCATTCTTCTGTGATTTTAGGTTAATTCTTAAAAATTTAAAGCAAAGCATTTGTGTTTTTGTCAAGAATTTTAAAAATTCACTTTGGAAATATAGTGGGTTCCTGGAACATGGTTTGCATTTATATTTTTACTGAATGTGATATGTAATTTGCATTAAATTTTAACCAATCAGGCTTCATGATTTCCTGCATCAATAAACTGAATTTGACACCAATGCAGTTTTCTGCAAAAGTGGTAAATTTTACTTGCAGTGCTGCAATCAAGCAAAAATTAATTTGTTTTTTCTTGAAAAAAAAATATTCTGGCTTGACAGTTTGTGCTTGTGGATAAAAATACAACAGGCAAGAGTGAGAAATCTGGTTGAAACACAAATTTCCACGTGGTCCAAAATATAACCATCAGGTTTGAACAAGCATTTGCCATGGCAATGGTTTCTATTTGCAAATGGAGATTATAAAAAAGAGAGATAAGAAGCTCAATATGCGATAAAATGCCAACCTCAAGTGAAACCAAGAAAACAGTTTCTTCTCAGTATTATTCAAGGAATCTCTGAAAAGAAATTGCTTATATGAAAACAAATCACAAAAAAGTACAATCAACAGCTTTCATCAGCACCACCTTCCTCAGGGTCTGTCCAAATGAGCACCACACAAGCTGTGAGCTGATGCATATTTAGAAAACTGGTGTTCAGATTTGTGGAATGTCGATTGAATGAAAAGATTTCACACAGCCAGTCACTGTGTTTAGAACCTTTTTCAACCAATTATAAATGTAACTATACCTGATGAAAATCACCATTCACAACATGTTGCCAGTACAATTAATTTTGGAGCAATGGTTTCAGTATACAGGCCAATAAAAAATCAGAAATTCTGCACTATTTGTCACACAGTAGCAAATATGAAGAAATACATATTTTCAAGGTTTGTTAATTGTCTCAGACAGCGTTTATCTTAGTTATTGGATTTTCAAAAACTTATGGTATATTGAAGAAATATCAATCAAAGGCATAATTTAATATTTCCCATGTTGATCAACACTTGAAACACCCAGTATTCCTGGAAGTTTCATGTTTCATGATATTTCGTCCAATTCAGATGATAAAGTACTAATGAGTGTCTTAGAGTAAACAACTGAGCATTTCTGGAGATATTGTGAAATGATGACTGAGATGCTGAATAGATACACAGCTTCTTCTGAACCCTGTAAAAGTTCACATTTCATGCCTGCACTGACTCTTGATACATTTTTGGTGCTCTAGTCAAGTAGAAAATTTATTTTTTTAAGTTGGCATCTTTTTGTACCACAAGAAGTTCAAAAATTATACCCACAAAACAAAGAATGTTAGCTTTCTCTGGATGCATGTTATACTGTACTGTAGTTGTTTTTTTCTTATATAAATGTTTAAACACACTTTCAGATGCAAGTACAGGATAGTGTCCTTTTGCAACAGACCAGCAGTTGGTTACCTGAAAAACCTCTGTAATGAATATTTCATTGTACTGAGACAGTGAGACTTGAATAAAATTGAGGCTGTACTACTTCTCTCAGCCTTAAAAGGAATTTTCTTTGAACAGGAATGCATTGAAAAAAAATTTTTTAGTAGGATTTTGTCTATATTAAAGTGAATATCATTGATCTAAAAGTCCCTTGAGTGGCACTCAGTTGTGTATAGCTCACTTGACCCTGAACCACTTCCAACAAAATGTTCACCATTTCCAAAAAATTGCTAAAACTGAAATCAAAATCATTCATCTCACCATAAAAAGCACACACATTTTTGGCATGTTTGAGCAAAACAGGTTTCAGTCCATCACAATATTTGGCTTCAACAGAATATCGTAATTTTCGGTGGGCACTGGATTGGAGCTATGGAAAGCAACTAGAGCACTGAGGTTCAGATGTCGCTCCTCAGCATTTCGAAGATAAAAATTGGACAATTTTGAGTCTGCTGGCAGGGTTTCCATTATGTGAAAATGCATCACATTCAGGTCTGTGTTCAGCACTGGAAAACAAATATGCAGAAAATCAGAAATATTTGCGTGCTGTTGTCAAAAATCTGAAAATCATGAAATTATTTGAAAAAATTCTCAATAATTCTTGAGATGTTTTCAACGAATTCCAAATTTTTAAAAATTATTTCAAGACAACAAAAACTGCCTGAGAATCTTTCCAACTTTTTTAATCCCAAGCAAAGAAGAAATATTAAAGCTTTATTATTATTATTATTATTATTTTGTATTTGTAATCTGCAAATTTGAAATTTCTTTACCAGTCAAGGAGTAGGCATGCCGTTCTTGTTTTCCAGAGGAATCTGAGGAACAGTTTCTAGATGATGCTTTGCGGATAATAAAGGCCCCAGGATAAGCTAATTCCAGCTGAACATAAGCACTTGCTTTTCCTCGCGTCCAATCAGCTTTGAACCATCTAAAAATTTGAAAAGGAATGCATAACGCAGATAAATTTGAAAACCTACACAAAGAATGAAAATTCAATTGAAAAAAAGGCCATCAAAGAACTGAAAGACACCTATTCATATCAGGTATACGACGCACTCATTTCTAAAAATATATTCATTCTTGCAATTTTGGACATACATAAAGGTTTCTTAAAATTTACCTAATCTGTATGGCATAAATGAACTCATGGTGCACGGGAACTCATTCCGCGCGTCTCCCCAAAAAATCAACCTTTAAAACGATTTTAGAATAGGGGTTCATTCTGCGACAACCCAATTTTTAGTGAATCTGAAATGACAAAATTTTGCTAATAAAAACAAAAAATTGACTTTAGGCATGAATTGAACAAAGAGCTCATCAATTTTCAACTTTTTCAGTACAAAAACATTTTCTTGTTACATTTGCTCCAAATTTCTCCATTGTAATCAAGTATAATGCACACATAACTTCCTAAAATTTCTTGAAAATTTTGTACCCGCTTATGATGTGCACCCCTTTTTTTTCTTCTGAAATTTAAAAAAAAAGGTCCATGCGGTACTAAAGTAAATATGGTATTCCAGTCATCTAGAATTATTTTCAATGATTTCTATAATTTTAGGGCTCTCTATCTACTTCCACATCGTTTTTCAATGGAAATTTTATACAATGGACTTTCCACTAAAATCTATGAAGTCCCTTAACCAAGACACTCCAAGAAAACAATTTCCAAGAAATTTTAAATTGAATTATCTTCTTTCCACAAGCTTCATAAGTCCTCAGTTGAAGGAAAACGTTGGTGGGTTCTGCAGTCAATGTGCCATTCTATACATTTTTTGCATACCACAGAATATGGACTTTATCCACTACAGTGGCAAGACCGTTGCACAAAAAGCTTATTGAATTTCAAATTTCTTTAAATTTTTTATGGGAGTATCTTGGTTAAAGAATTTGATCCATTTCAGTATAAAATTCATTACACAAGATACAATAGGTTTTCAACATTTGACTGAAATGGATTCAGTCCTTTTAGTGACACTCTCACATTGAAGTTTTAATTATTTTTTGCAGCTTTGCAGTCTTTTGTGAATTGCTCAAGAATCAATGTGCCTGTCTCTCTATTAATACACCTTTTCCCCTTCATAGAAGTGGAAAAAATATAGTTGGCTCAATATACTTTAAAAATTCCAGTACATCTGACACTATTGCATTCATCAAGTCCATCATCCACCGCAAAAATAACATTGAAATGTGCTTATTAAATTTCAGCAAAAAGTTATTGTCATTTTTGTTCAAAGGATTTCCCACTGACATGGATAAAGTTCATACCCCTTGGATGGTAGAGGGTTCCTTTCTATCCCATGGCACAGTCATGATTTTTCCAGGTAAGGCACATTTCAGTTACACCAAAAGTCACTGAAATAAATGTCCCTGGGGTGGAAAGGCCTAAGTTGGGGAAAATCTGGGTGGAGAATATTCTATGATCTTGAGAAATCTCAAGTTTTAATCTTATGCCAGGAATGGAGGAAAAATTCCACCCAATATGATGAGTTTTTTCCAGGCACATTTTTCTGCAGGGTTAAAAAAATGGAATTTTCCACAACTTAGGCCTTGGTTCAAAAATATGACTTTTTAAATTTCCAGCTGTTCATGCATGGTCACAAAATTTTTGAAAAAAATCCCAACTTTGTTGCACAAGGGTTAACCAATAAAGACACTCCCATGAAATTGTATTTAAAAAAGGGGTTTTGATGATGTTGAAGACTCACGAATGCCTTTCATATTCTTCAGAGACTCTAGAACCGAGGTACCGTGTCCCTACGTACGAGGGTCAACGCTCGTAAACGAGGAGTTTTCACGAGGGACCTGAGCCTGTTCTCGGTCAGTACTTACACTAGTAGGGTAGTCTGAGACTGTTTCTAGCTCCGCTTTTTCTAGAACTTCCACTCAATTTGAAAGACAGAGGGGGGCCAGAAATGGTTTTCCGCTTTTCTTTGTCGCGGTCAGCAGAACCCTTTCTCCATCTGAAGGATGAAAACCGCAACATGGTTTCCACAGAAATCCTACGAAAGGAAAAGGAAAATAATAATTGTATGCCGCGTTAGCGTATATATAGGCCGCATTCGAACTTTGAGCAGCGTTGCAAGAAGCAGAAACTTGTGAAGAAAACCATATATTCCCTAGCATCTTGTGCATTTTCAAGCACACTTTGATCTACAATAT